ATATTTATGGTCATTCTCTCAATTACAAAGAATATCAGAATTACATTCAAGCAGCTTTTCAGCTAATTCCAGAATGCTACGTTCATCCATTATGCCCTCGGTTGTAAAGGTGGGAGCGTAATGGAGCTGTTAGGGATGTCTGCTGGACTTCAGGCCTTGGATCTGGCTCTGCCTTGAACCTGTCGTGACCTACTCCAATACACCATATTAAAATTTCCTTTTTTATCAGCTTTCCTTATACCGAACCCACCCAAATAAAGTATTTTTCTACTTTCATACATGAGGGGGAGAGGGAAGAATCCTGTGATAACTGGTATTTGCAATTACTGGTGATTTCTTAGTGCAAGGTAAAGCAAGTTTGTAGTTCTCTAGCGTTTAATAACGATTAGTAAAGATAAGGTAAGAATACACCATATTGGACTGAATAAAGAAGTTTTCCTTTTCCAAGGAAGTTTCAGTGTTATTGTCACTACCAAACCGTACCATGCTCTCCCACTAACCACACTAAAGCTGCCTTTTAAGCTGCAGCACTGCTCTACAACTATATTCCATTTGCTTTGAAAGCAAGTGTCAACTTTTTGACTCCTGACGGCAATTTACCATAGCCCTGTCTAGCAAGCAGGCAAAAACACCACAAAGCACGCTATGAAACCAAATCCGTTCCGAGTTTGTGCAACTCGAGCCAATACATGTGCCGTAAAATCTAACATCCAGAAACTGTTCGTCTCCATGACCTGCTGCCTCACCTCACAGCAGTATATTCACCCATTGTTATTTTTCTCTCTGTCAGAAAGGACAGAAGAGACAGTTGCCCACCAGAACGCTTTCCAATGGAGACGAGGAGTACACGGTCCCCGAGCAGTGTGCTGTGGCCACGGGAGCCTCCCAACCCTCTCTGCTCCAGCTACAGTGGCACACTGGTCCCTTGAGGGGCCGGACAAAGCGACAGAATGTGGTGAAGGGCTTGTAGCCCCAGGAAAGCCTCCCCCGTTCCCCCGCCTCTTTTCCCTGCTCCGGCATTCACTTATCGCAATTCCTCAGCTTTCAGCAACTTTCCTCCTCATCTCCAAGCCCTGGAAACCTCGGGCACACGCCGAGGAGAGGGAGAACAAAAGGGCAAAGAACAAAGAGCCGGGGAGCTGGTAGGAGAGGAGGAAAGGGGGAGCTCCCCCTGCTCGGGTCAGCCCAGGGCCCCCTGCCCAGGGTAGGAGCCTTCCTCCAACGCACACACACCAGATGCGAGGGCTTGCTCAGGATCTGCTTTGTGCCCGACCTCGAAGTGCTCGCTTGCGCCGCTGTGAAATCACTCGGGGAGAGGTGCTCCGCACCGCTCCCCTTCCCTGCAACCGGTACTTTTCCCTCCGCATGGGGCACGAAGCATCCTCGGTGGGTCCCCGCAGGGGGTCGGGAAACCCGCGTCCGGTCCCAACCCCGCGGAGCCGAAGCGGCTTTCGGGAACCACGAGAAAAACAACAAGAGACCAACCCAAGGAAGCTACAAACGTCGCATTCCCTTCAATGTTAAACTTTTGTTCAACTATCACTAAACACCCTTTTATGGGTGATCCTCTCCCCGCCCCCAGATCCCCTCTTACCGAAAAAGACCCTTTCGCAAACCTCCTGCTCCCTCTCTTAGCAGTTAAATACCCCTGAAAAGCTGCAGGTGCCCTCGTTACCTGTTGCTATGAGGCCCCTGCCCTCCCTCCTGGGCGGGGGGGTGCAATTAACTCCTTTTTCGCTGTGCTCGTCCCATGCTGGCTGCAGATGCTGAGAGCCCAGCCAGGGGCAAACCCCGGCTGAGGGCAGGGAGCGAGGGGGGACTTGTGTGTGTGCTTGGGCAGGATGGGTAGCAGTGCGGGAGGTCCTGGGGGTCTCTCAATGCTGCCCGACTTCAACCGCGGGGCAGGGATAAGCAAGCAACGGCTGCGAGCGGGGAGAGTAGCGATCGTGTCATCCAGTTACCGAGGGACCGCGTGCACCGAGTGCCGTCCTGCAATCACCTTTTGAAGAAGGACGAGGAGTTATCATCCTTCTTCTTAATTGACAGGGTTCCTCATTGGAGTAAGAACTAAAGGAAATCAGAGTTTTACCCTAGAAACTTTTAGAGGGGTTGGGTTTGTAGGTTTTTTTACCCTTCCTCTTTAATTTAGGCTAGAAGTGGGCTAACAGAACCTCACTTTTCTGAAGGCGAAATTAATCTAGTCCTTCATCGGGAGTGGAAGCGAGTAGCGAGCATGCTGCAGGGATGGAAGGGGTGCCCGCGGAATCGGGCCAGGAGCCGGTCCGGGTCCAGCCCTGGTCTTACCGAACCCAGTGAGACGGGGAAGAGCCCCCTGTCCAGCAAGCCTCTGCCCCGAGCATCTCTCAGCAGCGAGGTCAAACAGAGGTGGGGAATGAGAAAACCAGGCTAAAATCCTGTGGCTGGCAAAGGAGAAGCGTGAGGTGCAGCTAAAACACGCGTTTGCTTGGAAGCTGCGCTGGGAGCCCGAGTCAAACTTCAGCCCAGCCTGTGCCCTGAGTTAACTAAACTCAATTACTTGCCTCCGTGTAAAATGGTTTCGCGTATGTGAGGAAATCTGAGAGACTGAGAAGTCTGTTTTTGTTATGATTTAATCACATACATTAAAGAAGGTCAAGCATACGCCCAATTTGGGACTTCAAATAGAGAAAAATAAAAAGCATTAGTTCTGAGGGACGCTGTGCCCAAACCCTTTCCTGCTGCACAGAGCAAAGCTGAGGCTCTCGGAGTCCACTCATCTCATTACAGCTGGCTGTTTGGGGTTTCTCTTTTCCTCCTAATGGAGTAACCTTTCATAAGTGATTGCAATTTCGGGGGGGAAAGGGAGAGTAGGTGCCAAAACAAGCTGGGGGTGGGGCGGAATTTTGCTTTTCAAGCAATTTAGCAGAAAGCAATTCTGCTTACAGCAGAGACGTAGGTGGATACTTGAAAACATCCTCCACCGGGGTGTCCTACTTTAGCAATTCTAATTAAAACAAGGTTTTAAAGATGCAAAGAAAGAGTAAGCTTCTTGCTTTATTTCCAATGGGCGTGGGGGATACAGTCAGGCACAAAGTGCTTCCAGCTTGTTCTAACGTGCACCTTTGTTTAAAAGAAAAAAGAATAATAATAATTAAAAAAAAAACCCCAACCCTACAAAAAACCCAACAAACAACATTCAAGCTCGTCCTCTGATTTCAACTAATGTATTTTTAACTGGATTTCTTTCCTTTGCTTTGTCTGATCTGATCCCTATCGCGCAGCCCTGGCCCACTTTCAGCCCTGCGAGTGCCCTGTATTGTGTGCGTTGCCTGTAAGACAAGGGGAAAGTCTCCCATCGCACACTTTCCTATACCTGTGCTCGGGAACTGAACAGTGCCCAAGCTAGTGGACAGCAAAGTACGGATCCTGCTCTTCTTCCCGCTGCCTAACCAGAGAGGAGCTGTGCCTTTGTAGGTTCAGCCTGGCTCGCACGGCTGTGAACGTCCAAGCACCTTGGATCAATAAAGCAGCCAGTTTTCTGACGCTTCTTTTCCACGGCTGCCTATTGAAAAGGAGGCGCTGCCGCCACCTATAAATACCGCTGGATCCAAGTCACTGCTTTTTTTTTTTTCTTTTTCCCTTCATTTTTTACCTTCCTACGTAAAGCAGCAAAGTTATGACCAAGACACCTCAAGTTCTTCTCTCCGAGGGGCTATGCCGGAGGTTCCCAGCGCCAGTCTCAGCTGCGCTGGAGCCTTTGAAGGTCGCAAAGGGCTGCGGCGGACCCGCACCGGCTGCCTTTGAACTTTGTTCACAGGCGTGTAGAGGGAGAGGAACAAATACCGATACTCACGGTGCTCTTTGGCTTTCCAGGTGTAACTCCGTCTCTCCCTCTTCTTTGTGTATAAACGAGCAGAGGTTACATCCCGGGCACACGTTATAATGCCCTCGATAACCCCGACCCTGTTAATTTAACGCTACGCTAACCTAAGAGTGTGTGATTGGAGCTCAAAGTGTTTGGTTTAGAAAAGCACATCTCCATGCTGGAAACAAGTAGCCTTCTCTGCCCACACCCCTCCTTTCCACGGCAAGAGTCTCCCAGCCCTTCATTCCTCCACAAACCAGCACACCTACCTGTCCGACAGCCACCTTTCCTTCCCATCACAGATCCCATCTTCCCCCCCCCACCTTCTCGAACCAAATCTGTGCAGTTTCTTAAACCCACGTGCTATGGCTGCTGCGTGGGGCTCCAATTCCTGCACCGAGCCCCGCCGAGGGCTCGCACCTCCCCACCGGGGAAGGGTCCGCGGGGGCCCCTCGCTCCCCAGAGCCTCCCGCATGGCCCGAAGGAGCGGGGTGCTCGTCTGGGCCGGTGACTTCTGGGCGCGGAGCGATCAAGCCCCTTCACCCCGCGCTCTGTCTCCCTGTTCGTATTTATTTTTATGTTCTATTTCCCTGATAATTCCCCCAAGTGGGAATTGACGAACACAGCTCGTTACCCGCGCTGATACCGGGGTAATAACCGTCAGAGGGGCTGAGCGCTCCAGGAAGAGAAAAGCGGAGGCAGAGGCAGGGATGCAACCTCCGTTATCTCTCTGCTACTAATTCCCAGCCGGCTAGGACTCAGGGGACAAGACGATCGCTTAACAAACCCTCCTCCTCCTCTCCCTCCACCACTCCTTCCTTCCTTCCTTCCTCTTCTCCGGCACATTTTCTCCCCCGCGCTCGCCTACGTTTCATTCCTTCTCTTCGGGAGGAATAAGCCGTGAAATCTCAAATTAAAAAGAGAAAGGGAAAAAAATAAGAGAAGAAAATATGGGAGGGAGGGACACAGGAGGGGAAATTAGAAGGAAGAAAAAAAAAAACAAAACAGAAAGGGGAGGGAGAAAAGGACAGAAAGTGTCTGTGCCTGATCGCTGACCATCTGTGCAAAAGGTGATCGTCGCTGGGTACTCACATGGCTGGTGGCAGAGCAGCTCTGGGCAATTAATAAGTCTCTCAGTTTGAGCTCTTCTCTCTCCTTTAGGAGGGCAGCTCTCTCCGGGGTCTCCCTCCCTCACACACAAACCCGATCAGATGCTTCAGGACCGGCCACTTTGCGAGGGGATCAACACGGGAGGGTTTGTATTACTCCAGGTTCGTGTGTGTAGCCTATAAATAGCGAACTTTTTGATGGAATCAGCTAACAAATGAGAGGAGAAGGCGTAATTTTGCGCAGGGAGCCCCCCTTTCTCTTTGCAAGATTAAAACCCCCCAGGCAGCGAACAGAGCTAAACTTGTGGGTGTGTGGAAAGGAATTTCACTTTATCGTGATCGTGCGAGAGATTTTTGTTTGTTTGTTTATTTGGGGGGGTTGCTTTTGTGTGTCGTTCCCCGTTCCCCCCTCCCCCCCCCTCCCCCCCCATACGTGACATCCTCCCTCCCTGTCTTCCCAGCCAGGGGCAGGAACTGACCCGGATTAGCACCGACTTTAACTCCAAACTGGAAACATGGTGCGTTTGCGGGTGGGTTATTTTTGGTTGAGGTTTTATTTTGGGGGGATTGGGGAGGAGATAAGCGGGGTCCACGCGGTATCGGTTGGAAGTGAAGGAGGAGGGCAGGCTTTCCTGAATGTGCCCTCACTTTGAAGGCGAGCAGGGAACAGGAAACAGGTCGGAATTATTGGGGGGGGGTGCATGTGTTACTCTGTTAGGGATGAAGTGTTTGCCATGGACCCACTCGTGAGAATGCCACGTGAAACACTCTGCTCCCCCCCGACCTGCCGCCAACCGCCGCTAAACGCGGCTTCTCTCGCGTTTGCTCAAGAGCCCTGCTGCCCCCGAACCGGCCCGAAAGCTCGCCTCGGGCTTGTCCCATTCCCCTCCGGGGGGCCGGTACTAGCTGAGCCCCCCCCTCCTCTTCCTCTCCGCGGGCGAAGGCTCCCGGAGGCTGTCCCTCCTCTCGCCGCTTCTTACCCGCCCAGCTCCCTGAGCTCATGTGAAATCCTTTCCTCTGCCGGGCTCCCGGCTTCTCGCAAGTGATTTTTAGCAGGTCTGTCCATACACATTTCCAATCTCATGGCTCATAAACTATTAGCAGCGGGATTTCATTATTCACCTTCTGTATCCTACAAAGGAGAGATAAAAAGATACACGCTCCTGGTAACACGGAGACCAGGGCTCGGCTTATATCACGGCGCTTCCCGCCGCCCTGGTGCGCAGCCCTGCCTCTGCCCCGGTTCGGCCCAGCCCGGCTCCGTGGGGTTTCTCTGGTTTATTGCTCCGGAGGGACCGAGGCGATAAGCATCGCACGGGGGGAAAGCAAACCCGTGATTTGTGTTTTCCTGGAAGCGGAGAAAATGCTCCAAGAAGAAAGAGTAAAATCTCGGGGAGGGAAGGATGGGGACGGCGGCTCGACGTAGCCTGGTTTTATTCTCTTTTCTGCACTAAATAACGTCAGGAGTTACTAGTTCTCTCCCGAAATGGGACAAATTGCATTGCAGGGCGGGAAGTACAGGCTCCCGTGCTATGCGGGATGCGGGAGGGATTCGCCGGGCAGCAAACCCCAGGGCCTGCCAAGAGTCGGGAGGCTGGGACGGCTATTGAAACACAGGACCCGATCCAGGCAAAGTTACTGAACGCGTGGCCTGAGACAGACAGAAATGTTAATACCGTGACAGCCGAGTTTGTTTCTATTCCCCCCCCATTTTAAAATTGTTCTTTAAGAAACGGGATTCGCAAAAGTTTAGCTCATGAGCTAATTTTAAAAACCAAGGTAGAGGGTTTTAGAGGGAGACCCACTTCGCAGTTTTACACCGAGGAGCAAAAACGTTCTGGCGGAGGCTGCGGTCACCACCGACAACGGAGCGGCGTTCGCTCCCTGTTTAATATACATGGTGTGGGAAATGAAGGGAAGGCAGAGCTAGCACCTGTAGTGCCAAAGGAAAAAAGAAATCAATCAAATTGCTGCATCACATTTTGGGGCAATTTCGCAGGACACTTATCAAAAATAGACCCATATTTAATAATATCTCTCATGATTTTCTCCGCGCGGCTCCTAGTTAATAGTAATGGGGTTTCTACTAAGGTTTTACGTTCTGATGCCTTAAAATAAATACATGTTTTAGCTGTTTATCGCGCGCTTGGGATTACAAGCAAGCAATCCGGACCAACTTTTGATTACTGCGCTGACCTGCTGAAGAAGCAGACTACCTCAAAACAATACAATAGGCGTTATGCCGGTACTCACGGCGCCGGACCCTGCAAGCTCCAGGGCTCTTTTCCCCTTTTCAGGGCGGGTGTGAGCCCGGAAAGGGGGAAAAAATGCGCAAGTAGCCCTGGGGTGAAGCTCCAGCCCGACCCCTGTCCTCCCCCTCGGGGCCGCCGCCAACCGCGCAGCCCCGCGCATCTTGCGCGGTTGGCGGCGGCCCCGAGGGGGAGGGCGGGGAGTGGTTATCGGAGCCACTCCGCAGCGTGTGCGAGGGAAAGGCCGTGGCAGAAAGGCGGAAGATTTGAGCTTTTCGGGTTTATAAGCACCGGTTCACACGTGGGTGCTCCCCGCAGTGAAGCACAAAGAGAGGTCAGCGGCCTGAAATACCACCTCCTTTTCTCCCTACTTTCTCCTCACCAAAGCTTTATGTTTGTCGTCTTCTTTTTTTTCCTCCCCTTCCTTTTTAAATTAGTGTTTTTTCATTAATTCTATTTTTCTTATTCCCATACAGACTTCAGGCAGGTTAGATGCCTGCCTTGTACTCCTCCTGTCCCTTGTAGCCAGTACAAGGACTGGCGTATGTTACTACTGAGTTATACTTTAACTTCTCCACAGGTAATAATTAAAGAGCTTCTCTCTAAACCCTTTTCCCCACAGAAACTCCTAGGCTTTCTTTTGCAATAGATTATATTGATCACACACACTCGGGCATGCTGCTGCAGATCGCACGAGGCAGGTAGAATTGAAAGAACTGCTCTCAATTTCATGCACTCTGTACACTCTCCTACACCTTCCCCCCTTATTTTATTGAGCTGGAAGGTTTCTTTAGGGATGCATTGCTATAAACACTTCCAAATCCCATTTCCCCCCTCTACTTCCATCCCCAAAAGTAAGATCCACACACAAAAGCAGACTGACAGTTGCCGAGCACGCATCCAGGCTTTGGCCATGCCTCCACATTTTGTCCCATAGTCACATTGTGGGTGAGTTTAAAAATCAGATATCTAGATATATACAGATATTCATATATATGTATGTATACATATGAGGTACTGACACAGATCAGTCTGTGGACCTCCAACTTCTAGCAGCAATGCTTTCCAAAGAAAACCTTCAGCCTCATCTTAACAGCTGCACTGAAAGTTTTAGGGGGTCTGAGTTACTTGAAATCATAAATTAATCTGCCAGAGGAGTGCAGGCACACACCTGATATCAAGAGAGGGTCAAGAGCTGGCCAGCTCCAGCTGGTCCCACATTTGATTTACTTCAGGCCGTTAAGATGTATACGGTGGTGTTTTGATAAGAAAATAGGAGTCAGCAGTTTTATTTGGCAATTCTCTCTCTTTTGTTTTCCCCTTCTTTTTTCTCTGAAGAGGACCGCAGTTTAAGCTGAGGAATTTGTTATTGCTGCTGGAGTGGTTTTAAGCAGAGGTTCTCAGTCTGCATGGGGCTATCTCATCATTTGCTGTTAACACTTAACTGTGTTTCCTCCTCTCCTAAGTGAGTCAGAAAGTGGCATCGACTCTAATGCAGCTTGTCCATCTCAGGCCTCCGGTGTCTCCAGCTTGTGCCTTTGCTGGGGTTCACCCCAGCCTGGGTACTTGGAGCAACAGCAGTGGCCATCTCCTCACTGGTCCCTGCCACGTCTCTAGCCCTCACACTTCTCTCTTCCACAGGGCATTGCAGCAGGGGCCTCAGAAATAGGGGATTTGTATGCTTTTATTCTCATATGAGCTGAACTCAGGAGGCTGCTTGTTCTTAGTGGAAATAAACTATGATTTGCAGATACCTCCTGCCCCCAAAACTTGATCACAGAGAGTTAAATCACAGAAAGAATGTAAGGGGTGTACCTCTGATGTGTGTGTCTGCGCAGGGTAAAAGAGACCCACAATACTCCAGCTGGAAGACCATCGCGCAAATAACACCCATCAGGAGCGGGTCCATAAAGGCAGACTAAGAATCAGATCAGAATGTTTGGATACTATCCCTGATTTTTTTTTCTCCTTTCCTCCTGTTCTAGTTGCTTTGCCTCTAAAATAGGGAAATCAGAGCCATTTACACTATTGCCTTTCCATGAAGCTATTTGATGTTTGAAAGAAAATCAGAAGTACTCAGAGGACATAATCTGTGACCATATTCCGAGGTGGATATGCTGCCGTTCCCTGTATTGGGGTTGGCAAACACTTCTCAGCAGAGACCATATTTTCTGTGGCATGTAGCTTTAGAAAAAACATCATCACTTAGGCTGAAAACTGATATCCCCTCTGTACTGGGCAGATTATTTTGAAAATACCTGCCAAAACAATTTGTCCATTTCCAAGAACAAGGTTATGGAAAAATAAACAGTTTTGCTCAGACTAAAATGGAAACTTTTCATTTTTTTTTTTTTTTCCCTTCGAAATGCTCTGCTGCCCTCAGGCTTTGAAGCACAGATTCAAAATGTGACCTTTTATTGTATTTAAGATGTGCCTTTCCCTCTCTGCCTGAAAATTTATCCAAATGTGGCTAACTTGTGAATATTAGACATTCTGTCATGAACACAATTTCAGTAATGATTTCTTTTATTCTAGCAGAAGAAAGGAATCGCTAAAGATTGGCCGTCTCTGCAAACAGAAGCTTAAGTGGTAAGACCAGATTTCACCTTTAATCCCCACCTCCAAATTTCCCCCATGAGCCCGAGCTTTGGCGCAGAATCAGAGGTAGGAATCTTCTTTCTTTCAAGCTCTGACCGATTTGAAGGTTGTGTCAAGAAGAAAGGTCTCTGCATGAATACAACGGGGAGAAAAAAGCAATGTGACAGAGCAGACGGTAGAAGCAGCCAAGAGAGAAAGAACTGGAACTGGTGTTTGGAGGCAGGACCCTGGGACTGGTTAGGTAAGGAGACACAGAGGTTGTGCAGAGAAAGCAGAGAGGAACCATTCGGTTGAGGAGCCTGGAGGGGAGGTAGGAGGACAGGGATGGTAAAACTGACTAATGTTGTCAGCCAAGAGCATGGGTGAATAATTGCAGGATGTCCGGAGTAGCTGGGCTGAATTTCACATCAAACATGGTAGGAATTCTGAAAGTCAAAATGTTTTATTTCGCTGTTTTTAACTGATGCAGTTCAGCTGCATCGTTATTGCTTTTTATTTGGTACAGAGGCTGCTTTTGAATGCTTAGAAAGAATCAAGTATTTCCAAGATGATCCAAAATATTTTTTAAATGATTTTTTTGTGTGTGTCACCTCTGAACTAATGAAACGTTATATATACCTCACTAGCCACGAAATCAGGCACTGGGATGTTGAGGAAATGACTAAGCTGAAGGTTTTAGAACACCTGGATTCAGTCTCATACATGGCCACGCAGATTTTATTCCACAAATTTCCTAAAGCAGAAATGAAACCTCACAAGGTACACTTCCCCTGGAGACACATCAGAACTCTGTAGTTTTTATTCACTGGATTCCTGTCTAATTTGTCACAGAATTGGGCATGGTTCATGTACGAGGTAGAGGATCACAGGAAGACAGAGCAGGGCTTTGTGGCAAGGGAATAGCTGGATTTTGCCTACGGAGTTTGCTTCCATCCCCTTTTTACCTCAAGGCTTCTATAATGTGGGGCAAGTTGCCTCATGAGATAATGGTTAACAGAGATTTTCATATTATGGACCCATCTTGTTGTTTTTGGGTCCGGTAGGTGGAAGTGAATCATTCACTACCTCAGATAAAGTCCACTGGGCTGTGCATTGACTATACCGAGTGATGCAGAGTGCCAAACCAGTTGAAAAGTCAAGTAGACAATATCCTTAATTGGATACCCAAAATTAGCAGACATTTTTTACTTTAACCTATTTGTTTGGAATAAAGATTTATAAAAAAGGATAGGATGATCCTATCTCTTAAATTTCAAGTTGTAAAAGATGTTTGCTAAGCGTGGTGGGGAGAGGAACAGCCAAAAACCCACAGTGTTGGGTTCAGGTTAGGATTTGTGTGCCCCAAATAAAACCTAGAGTCCCATAAAAGTAAGCTTGACAGTGAACACTAGCACTTGAAGAAAGCTTTGCTCACATACTACTCTGAATGCCAAACGAGTACCTGTGAAGAAGATCAAGCAGAAAAGTCCCCCTGCCCTGTCAAATTGCATTCATATACCATTGCACAGGAACGGATGAAACAAAGGCTTTGTAAAGTTATTCATTAAAAGGGGGAAGAAGGGAGATAAAAAAGGAGAGGGACAAGCCCATGGTGTCAGAGAACACGGGAATAAGGTGCTGACCCAGAAGAGACCAAAGTGCATGTCTTTATTGGTGATTGTATCTGGGGTACCTCCATTTCAGGTGTACACCACAGAGACTTGCCTTTTTGTAACTGCACAGAATCTTTCCCTTCGTTTTCTAAAATCTTTCCAGTTCCTTCAGAACTAACATTTTCCTGTTACATAGTCTGACTTTTGAGGAAAACAGTTTTTCCTGGAAAATTCTTCATCATCTCTCCAAGTACAAGATGGTGTAATTAAAGGCTGTATGTGCATCTGCGCAAGGGATTGGTATTGAGCAGCGTGATTAGCTTTCATTCTCTTGCTTCCTACTGGCTTTAAACGTTTATAGAGCCTGTAATGCTCTCTTAATTTGAGTATGTGTGTGTGTATGTGTGCAATATTTTATGGCTACACAAGATTTATCCCCTACCTAATTTACTGCTGTTCTTAATTTTCATTAAAATATAGGGTTTTCCATCAGTTCCTTATCGATTTTAATTCTTTGATTTTTCATGTCAGTCAGCCCCACTGCAAACGTAGGGGTATTAGTAATAGCTCACTTATTTTAACAGGTGTTTTTTATTTTCACTGAGTTGAGTACTTATGAAAGGTAGTAGGTTAATAGCTTTTAGGAAGTATTTTAGCTCATCTGCTCATTAGGTAACACCTCTGTCCTACCAAAGTCAAGCATAATAGCAAAAGGGTGACCAAACTGGAGAGCTGAAATATCCTCTGACTTTTCGGTTGTCAATTAGCATGTATTTAATAGCTTATTTCATTGGTAACACTGGCACCTATCCAGTGGGAACTAGACCAACACTTTCAAATGAGTTCTGGTGGATGGGTTTAACAACCCAGATTGCCTACATGGGGCTGGGTTTGACCAAGCAACAGGAAAAAAGCCCTACTCTTCAACTTAAGAAATTCTGTTTTCTGTGTTACAAACCAAAAAGCTCCAGAATCACTCTCCCTTTTAGTCGTAGAGATAGGAAGTACACCGTCAGGCATGTGGTCCTGACCTCAGCTGAAGAATCTTTGACAGGAATCAAGCAGTCACTGCACTCTCTGAAATGGCCAAATTAACTGTCTGCTTAGCCATGGATTAAAATTCACTGATCAAGACAACAAGTGAGACAATAGTTTGCTCCTCCTACTTTACCCTACAGCAGATCCTCATAAAATCAGAATGGTTAGGGTTGGAAAGGGTTTTAAGATTACCTAACCTTCAGTTCAGCATCAGGATTTTTTTTTTTTTTCCCCCAGAAATAACCATCGTACCTGTAATAACTTGAACAAATGGGATACGTAAATGCAAATGTCAAAAAGGAAAACTGATCCAGTTTTTTAGTAACACAGAAACTGTACAAGAGCAAAGAATAAAGACAGCTTCAGGAGTCCTGATTCACTCAGCAGTCACCATCATTTTGAGTAGTAACTTCCAACAAATAAAGTGCTGTTTCCCCTCAGCAAGGACCTTTTCAGCATTGCTTTCACAACCACAGCCTAACTCTGCTTCTCTAACAAGCCACGGGCTTGAGTGAACCATTGTAAACTGCTTAATGCTTTCTAGAGAACTCAAATATGTGAAGTACCCAGTGTATAAAAGAGAGAGCTTATTGCAAAACCAAGCGTAACAAAACTGACCTGCTGAGAGCAGGGCGTCTGTCTTTTCACATTGGTATTAGGTACCGCGCTTGGATTTAGTAACAAAGCAACATATGCTTCCAAGTCCATCATTTTTATACCAATATACAAGACAGAACAACTAATATAGTCTCAATTATGCAATGCAAGGGTGGCCATCTGGCTGCTCAGGAATTGATTTTGACCCAGATAACAGCAAACGTTTTTGTATCAGAGACAAATTTTTTAGGTGTGACATTCACATCTTTATTAAACAACATTAATAAAACCAAAATAATTTCAAGATGTAGTACAAAAGTCATGTTGATGAAAAAGAATATATTCAGTGGTGTATTTATATACCCTACATTATCAGTCACCTTGCAGAGCTAGATTCCTCTCACCATAGCCAATACTAAAATATATATATGTATATATACAAACAAATCCTTTCTCAGTGTATCTGACCAAGTTAAAGATCTACTATACGTGTCAATGAAGCTTTACTATTGCTTATAATGATAATCCTGTATCATCCCACCCCTGAAGTGTGTATATCTCAATCATGAATATATGGGTCATTGCATAAAGACATGTACCTATTTTGATGTACAGTAGTCTGACTGTATCTGTATGTATCTCAAAGGCTCCAAAACAGCAGTAGGGGTCACAATAAATAGTTTGAGCATAAGGTCAACACTGCAATAGCATTGCAATATTTCATACATATATGTTCAAAGGCAAAGGTTTGATAAATACGCTGATGATATAAGTGGCTTGGACACTCCTAGCATAAATTTGGAGAGAGGAGTAGAATAAAAAGTTTATTCTCATTTTTCTGGGCATAAGGATGCTTCTTCCTACTAGCAGTGGCCACTAGTCCATCTTTGTCATACTCATTCAAAACCTCATGGCTCACTCACCCATACCGCCAACAGATAGAAGGTGAAAGGCAGAGTTTTCCGGGAAAGTAAACTTAAGATGATGAAGATATTCTGGACCTGCCACGTGGCCTCAGCAGTCCATTCCCAGGGAAGGTTTGCAAAGGCATAAAAAGGAGTTCGGCATCTAACTTGCCCCAAGGAAGCGTCAGCCTCCCTACAGGCAGCTGAGTGCCTGCCTTTCACTGAGTTCAACTTGACAAGAATCATAGGATAGTTAACATATAAACTATTTTCACGGGGTGTTTTGTTTTGTTTTGCTTTTTCCTCAGGGCTTTTTTCTTTGTCAGGGTTACTTCACCTTTATGTGAATGAATAGCATATACAGGCTTTGTTGTGACACATAGCAGAGAAGTGGTAAGTTCTTGAGATCTGTCAGCTATAGTTTGTGACTTTTACTAAGTTTGCAGATTAGTTAAGCTCTCCCTTCAAAATCCAGAGTGGTTTTTAAACTACGTATCTGTGATGATTAAATGTCCTGACAATAATTAAAGTGAAAATTCTGTATATTTGAACTCTCACTATTGAGTGGAAACTACTGTAAAAACAGATGTATGCTTTCATTGCAATAGACATACTAACGTTTTGTCCTGTATAGAACACATGAGTAAGGACAACAGTGTAGAAAACTTAGAAAGCCTCCATCTTCTGCATGGACAAAATGAGTGATGATGAGGAAGAGTGTAGAATTGCATGTGAAGATCAAACACACTCATAAATAGGGGTGCTGAGATGAATAAAGACAGAAGTTACTTCCCAGCCATCATACAAACCCTCAACACTATCCTATTTTAATGATTTTATTACCATAAGTTACACCTGA